TTGAATATCGAGTGCTTTTTCGTGAAACAAAAGTGCTTTCGAGTACTCTTCCATGTTATCATACACACGACCAATGTTGTTGTATGAAGTAGCCAATGAGGGATGATTTTCAGGAAGAATTTTTTCTTGAATACCGAGTGCTTTTTCGTGAAACAAAAGTGATTTCGAGTACTCTCCCATGTTAGCATACAAGCCACCAATGTTGCTGTAGGAAGTAGCCAATGAAGGATGATTTGCAGGAAGAGTTTTTTCTCGAGTTTCAAGTGCCCTTCCATGAAATGAGAGTGATTTCGAGTACTCTTCCATGTCATCATACACACTACCAATGTTGTTATATGAAATAGCCAAGTCAAGATGATTTGCAGGAAGAGTTTTTTCTTCAATACCGAGTGCTTTTTCGAAGAATGAAAGTGCTTTCAAGTATTCTCCCATATTCCTATAAACCAAACCGCTGTTGCTGTAGATAGTAGCGAAGTGAGGATGATCTGCAGGAAGAGTTTTTTCGGCGATTTCAAGTGATTCTCTATAATACTCGATAGCCTTTTCATAATCACCTTGGTGATCTTTGACAACTCCAAGATTGTTATAATAAATTGTGTGCTCATACTTGTTCGATGTTTGTTCCAGTAGTACGTTGTACAGTTCCTCCGCCTTATCAAAATGGCCTATCATGAGTAGTAAATTACCCAATCGTTGCCATCCTGTGGTACCCATTAGCTCTTCACTTCTATATTTAGTCAATTGTCGAAGTTGTTCATCTTCATCAGCAGTCAGTTGAAGTTCAACTTGATAAAGTTGATCATTATTGTCCATTTGTTTAATTGCACCCACTCGAAATATGGTGTGCATGGAGAAGAGAGTTTCTTCTTCTGTTTCGAAATAACTAATCTCATCGATAGAGGCGAATGGTGTTGATGAAACACGAGGATCAATGGTCATTATAAAAAGTATTCCCACCATATTGGTATTGTCTAAGGCGCTCTTAGCGAACTGAAGGGAAACATCTTTTTTCGTACTGGTGGATAAAAAATTGTTAAACGACATGAGACTATTTTGTGTCGTTTTGAGTTTTTCGAAATCGGCTGTCAGTAAACCTTGTCCTCGATAAACTAGAAAAGGCTGACCGCGATAGTTTGGAAGTTGCTGCTGGTGCAACTCATTAATTTGTTGATGGAGATCATGTATAAAAAATCCCATATTAATAATTGTATCGGTATCTAATGTTCGAAGTGCTCGATTAAGCATTTCATAAGTAAAACACT